GCATGTGGTGCTGGGGGATTGAACTGCGGTCCCTGTGCTTTGCCAAGCTTGTTTCAAGTAGGTGCTTTAGACCACTGAGCCATCTCTCCAGCCCCCAGACCCTTTTTAATATAGCTATTATCTAGTCTCCCTAGCACACTGTCACAAACAATTAAGAAGCACAACTATAGCACTATTTCAACAATTTTCCAATTAGTGTTTTGATTATATCACAGGCTTATGTGCCAGTATTTGACAACTTTAGAATACGAACTAAAGAGGCTTAGGCCACTGAGCTACCTTCCCAGCCTGGACATATGACTTTAAAATTATAGCTCGGTGGTCTAAGCACCTGCCTGGCAAGGGCAAGGACCTGGGTTTGATCCCTGCTAATGTATGCCCTGCCCCAAAAGTAGAATAAGCCCCAAAACCCAGGGTGAGCCATGCCAGCCACTGAACCTGGGCGTGGTAGCACACACTTATAATCCCAGTGCTGCTAAGGCTAAGACAGGAGGATCACTGTGAGTCTGAACTGCATAGTGAGACCCTGTATCAAATAAATAAAAGATATAAAAAAATATTTTCACTATCCAGTATGAAAGCACGCCTAGACAATCCCAGCTGCTCCTGGATTACCAGTATATATAACAATCATAACAGCTTATCGGTAGTATGTCCCAAGCAATCCTAAGGGCTTTACACTTAAGAACTCATTTGTATCTCACCAAAAATTAATCATCATCCTAATTTTACCATTCAAGAAATAAAAGCAATAGTCAATCCTTAGTAGAGTGTTTGTTTCTAAATGACTTAAGCAACTGCTTCAAATATATTATAGCTAGGCTCCACCACAGATTCTCAAGTTTTTCATTTCAACTGATGGCTGACATTGTCCAACTTCCCCTAAAATAGCTATATCTGTGTTTCTCAATTAAGAAAGTTTATATATTTTTAAGAGTATTCTGATGGGGCTGGTGAGATGGCTCAGTGGTCTATAGCACCTACTTAGAACAAGCTTAGCAAAGCACAGGGACCGCGGTTCAATCCCCCAGCACCACATGCCAGCCAGCCGTGCCCCCTGGTGGGCTGAGCTGGCCCCCACCACACACACACACAAATAAATAATTTTTTTAAAAAAAGTATTCTGAAATTCAATTTAAAATTTGTCAAATCAATAATATTCTATCTAAATATTTTGCATATAATCATTGGTATGCTGACCTAATAATCTAAATTCAAATAATCTATATTTCTTCCATTTTTGTCAAGACAGTATAGCTTATTAAATGTCACACTAGACTTAAAATTAGAACAATGCCATTAAATTAAACAATGTATCACATGGATCAAACAGCTTAAATGTTACCTAAAATATACAGCTGGCTAAATTTTACACAGAACTAACAGAATTACATAATGGTTTTCCTCTCAATACTTTGGGGCCTAGAAATACTTAAGAATACCATGGAAAGACATGACAGATAAGTTACCCACAGTAGAATGTGACAGCCCTTTATAGACTTTTTTTTTTTTTTTTTTTTTTTTTGGCGGAACTGGGGATTGAACTCAGGCCCTCGCACTTGGCGCTTGCCAGGCAAGCGCTTATTCTACTGAGCCATCTCCCCGGCCCCTATAGATTTTTATTGAAAGTCCTCTATTTGATTCCCCAATGAAGCCCTCAACTCATCATTCCAACATCGTGAGCTCTGAGAACTTGTGTCTTCAGAAGCAGACGGCAAGATCAAAGAGATCCCGAAGTGGCAAACTGCACGTGGAGAATGATGCATGGGTGCACATGAATCACCAAACAGAAATGAGCGCCATGCAGAGCCCTTCACTGTGTAGGAAACCCTCAGCACACAGGCTGCCTGCTGCTCGATCACCCTTCCAATGTTATTAAGACTTTGGAAAAGCAACACGATCCTGGAGACCGCAGACAAAGCTCACTGAGGCCTTCATTCGAGTCTAAATAGACTACAGCTATTCCTTGTTTAATGACCCACATGTTTAATGACTGCTTAGATTTACAACTGTCTTTTTTTGTAGAGTTCTGTAAATCTCGTTTATAGAGCTTCAATGTCTTTTTTGTATGGTACACTTATTTGGTAATTTTGGCTAATTGTACTATACAATACAGTAGTATAGTTCTATGTTGTTATATATTATAGTACTACGTAAGAATTATGCAATAAACACAAAGTTGTCAAGCTAGCGTTTCCTTTGACCAGTTCTTCGTTCTGAATACTATAGTATACATGCTATATACAATTCCTTATTTCAGAACCATTTATCGACCTACTTGCAGGAACAGAGCTAGGTCATCAATGAGGAATGTCTGTATTTCATTATCACACATAGATATTTAAAATCTCACTTAACAGATGGAAACAATGAAGTAGAGGCTAAACTACCAGAATAGTGATGTTCAGTAAAACAGTAGTACAGGTATAACCAGAAAAAAAAAAAAATTTTTTTTTTTTTTGGCTGGCTCAGCCCACCCTAAGGGCAAGCCTGTGTGGCACGTGGTGCAGGGGATCAAACTGAAGTTCCCTGTGCCTGCCTAAGCTTGCCTCAGCAGGCACTTTAGACCACTGAGCAATCTCACCAGCCCCATCAAAAATTCTTTACTTTTAATCAAATAAAAAAAAATCAAGACTTTTTAATTCAGAAGTTGAAAGACTGTATCTTTAAACATTAATTTATAATGGTTTGTTGCTCTAGGGTTCCAGAGCTTTCAGAAACTAAATGAATTAAATATTAATAAATATCAACATCAAATTAGTATTTTATCTCATCTTAGCCCTTCCTCATTTACCCTCCCTTTAATCCTTTGCCTTTCAATAAAATGAGACTGAGATTAAAGTCATTCTAACTTTAAGGAGTACAGCAGCAAAGTGTGTACATGTGTGACGACAGAAATCCATACTTTGTCACAATACACTGAGGGGCTGAGGCAAGTAAGAAAGGCAGGCCCACCTTGAGTGTGACATCACAGAGTTCTCCATTTTCATAAAATCGAAGAAGAGAGCTGTGGAAATCTTTCCAGGCTTCATTCGCTTCAAAGATAAAGGAGTCCTCGCCATCGCAGTCACTCACTGGAGATCTGTTCTTTATGGGATGCTGCTGCCTTTTCCCTTTTGGGAAGTGATTCCGAGCTGGTTTCCCAGTCACTGATTCTGAAGCCATTTGTAAAACTCTTATTCTAATTTAGCTTTCTTCTCCAACACCCCATTTATTCTTTGTTAAAAGGCGAGAAGACAGAGGGTAGCAGCCGCTAATCTTCAGTTTTTAAAACACACTGAACTGCCACTTTGCTGAGACTGAAAGTACAAAGCACACGTAAGAAAAAGATTATCATTGGTAACTAGACTTTATCAATATTATTAATGTAAAATAACCATACCTACTATTGGCAAAATACCTAATTTTTATGCTATTTATGTTCCATAATTCACTTTATCAACTACTTAATATCAGCAAAAGAATTTTTTTTAAAATTTAATCTGAGAACAGTTCAAAAGCACATGACCCAGCCGCCACGGCTGTGGTACATGCCTGTAACCCATGCATCCCAGAGACTAAGGCAAAAGATTCCTAGAGTTTGAGGCCAGCCTGGGCAACTCAAAAAGCACATGACACTAAGATAGGGCGTCCCATGTCTTCAAAAAGAGAGGTTATAGACTAAAAATTTTGAGTTGAGAAACTTTGTTTTTTGGAGACAGGGTCTCACTGCCATTCAGGCTGGTCTTGAAGTCACAACAATCTTCCTGCCTCAGCCTCTCAAGTGCTGGGATTATAGGTGTGCACCACCACATCTGGCAAAGTTAAGAAACTTTATTCACTGATGCAAAGGGAAAACAGAAAGGTATACTGATTGAATTAGATTCATTTACACTTTTTTTTTTTTTCCCCCTTTGGTGGAACTGGGGATTGAACTCAGTCAGTTGCATGTTTACATAAAATTAGTATTTACAAATAAAAACAAACGTCATTATCAAAACATATTTGATATATATACACCATCAGTAATCCTATGCTATCATTCTACTTTAGTAAGAACACAAGATTTTAAGCTAAAGCTGTCATTTCACCACTTTGGCTGTTTGATCTTTTTAGGAAGCTTTACTAGCTCTCATTTTCTTCATCTAAGAATAGGAATACCTGCCCTCTTACAGGACTATCATGAGATTATGTAAAATACAGCAGTGTATAATAAGTGCTTAGGAAACTGAACCACGTCTGCAAATACTGGTGACTTTCAGATAGAAAACTGTACTTCATGCAGTTCTAGAAATTTAAACTTTAGCCCCTTTGCTTTTCTTATTGTTAATCTCAAAATTTTCCAGCTTTTGACAGGAGCCAAACTGGTCACTACAAGATTACACCATGGCCAGGGAGAGGGCTCAGTGGAATAAGCGCTTCCCTGGCAAGTGCAAGGGCCTGAGTTCAATCCCGGTTCTGCAAAAAAAAAAAAAAAAAAGACTACACCATGGAGCTATTAACAACTTCTTAAGGTTTCTGTGGCAGACATGTGGGCTGGAGCACTTAAGCTGGCTAACCTTCTACAGCAGCCCAAATGACCTGTGCCCAGGCTTCTGACTCAGGAACTGTAGAGGACGCATGTGTGCTACCTGAAGCCACTACATGTGAAGAGCCATGGCACACAACAGAAAGAGACTGCAGAAACCACTATAGCTTGGTCTGTGTGCTGCCTCCAAGGCCCAAGGATTAAGGCTGGGTGGCCAGCCTATCGTGCTGCCAGGGGTGCAGGAGCCTTCCAGAGGTGATCACTGGAAGGCGATAGATCAGAAGGAGAGGCACTCTGGAGAAGACAGTAGACTCTGGCTCTTCCTCTGTCCCTCTGTTCTTCAGATTGAGATTGCTTAGGCAGGTGCCAGGACTGGGATTCGATTCCAGCGTGCTGTGCCAGCCCCACCCCTGGGGCACACTGAGACAGACTGGGCATGGTGGCATGCCCCTGTAATCCTAGCACTTGGGAGGCTAAAAATAGGAGGATCACTATGAGTCCAATCTGTGTAGTAAGACCCTGTAGACCCTGTACTAAATACATTTAAAAAAAGGATACACAAATGGTCAACAAGTATATGGAATATTGGTCAACTTTACTAATCATGAGAGAGATGTGGATCAAAACTGTAATATCACCACATATTAGAAATAAGGGAAGAAAGAAGAGGGAGAGAGAGGGAGGGAGGGAGGGAGAAAGGGAGGGAGAGAGAGAGAGAGACAGAGAACATGACAGTGTGCATATTCAAGAATGAGAACACTTGGAAACCCCTCATATTGTCAATGAGAATGTAAAATAGTGTACCTGCAACTGAAACTGTATGCTATCCCTCAAAAATTTAGAAACAGAGTTACAATAAGATCTAGATATCCACTTCTAGGTTATGTCCAAAAGAATTAAAAAATGAACCTCAAAAGGATACTACTTGCATACCCACATTCAACATAACATCCAAAACACACAAGAGATGGAAGAAGCATAAATGTACATCAACGATGAGCAAAGAACATGTGCTTTATCTACAATGTAGTACTACGCATCCCCCCCCCCAAAGAAAGTATTGCCATGCTACTGCATGAATAAGTTCTGTGGACATTATACAAAGTGAATGAAGTCAACACAAAGAGACAAAGACTGCTTAATTCCACTTACATGAGCCATCTAAAACACTCAAACTCAGAAAATAAGATGGTCTCAACCAATAAATGGATAGATGATGTGGTCTCTTTAATGCAATGGAGTACTACTCAGTCATAAAAATGGCTAAACTTGAGACATCTCTAGATAAATGGATGCACCTTGAGACCACATTCTTAAGTGAAAAACATCGGACATATAAAAATACTTAATTGTTTCTCTGGTGTGAGAAACTGGACGTGGAAATAAAGACCAAAATGTGTAACAGATACTGTGAAAAAGAAAGAAAATATTCAAATGGAAAGGGCAACTAGGAAGGGGGAAAGGAAGGAAGGAAAAAGAAAAAAATGAGAAAAGGAATAAAAGGAAACACTTTTATAAATAACAAAGGAAAAAGGGTTGAAGTGAGGAGAGGGATATGGGGAAAATTAGAAAATAAACTTAAAAAAAAAAAAAGAACCAAGATATATCACTTATAGGTACAAATTCCCTATGAGGAATGTGATCACTATGTGTACCTAAAATGTACTAGTAACTTTATTTAAAAAAAAAAAAAAAAAAGATGGTGGCTGCCAACAGCCGGAATGAGGGAAGGAGGGCCTTTGATAGGTACAAGAGTTTCAATATGCAGAATGCAAACACTCCAGCAATCTGCAGCACAGCCCCTTGAACATGGCTAAGCCATAGACACTTGTGTGGCTCAGTGGTACAGCACGCCCTTAGCATACAAGCCCCTGGCTTGGATCCTGAGTACCCCCCAAAATGTTAGGATGGCAAAATTTCTGTGATTTTTACCAGTTTTTCTTTGTAAGTCTGAGAATACAGCTCAGTGACAAAGCAAGTACCTTGTATGCCTAAAGCCCTGGGTTTGATCACCAACACTGGACACACACATGCTTGCACACATGCGCGCACGTGCACACACACACATACACACACACACTAAAGATACTGTATATAATAAAAGGGTCAATTTAGCAAAAAGATGTAGCTCTGGGGCTGGGGAGATGGCTCAGTAGGACAGGTGCTTGACTGGCAAACACAAGGATCTGAGTTCAATCCCCGGTTCCGCAAAAAACAAACACACACACACACAAAAAAAAAAAAAAAAAAAAAAAAAAAAAGATGCAGCTCTATACATCAATACTCACAATATCAAAGGTACAAAAGACAAAAGAAAATGTAACAATGCTAAAAGAAAAAAAACCCAAAACATTCCACAATTACCATAAAGAGATTTTAACATTCCTTTTCCGTTATAAAAGTAGCTGACAGCAAATGAGCAACAATATAAAAGAACAGAGCACTATTTTATTTATTTTTTGGGGGGGCAGAACCGAGGATTGAACTCAGACCCTTATGCTTGCCAGGGAAGCACTTATTCCACTGAGCCATCTCCCTGGCCCAAAAGTTTCTTTCTTTTTTCTTTTCTTTTCTTTTTTTTTGCAGAACCGGGGATTGAACTAGGCCTTGCGCTTGCCAGGGAAGCGCTTATTCCACTGAGCCATCTCCCCAGCCCTTAACAGAGCACTATTAACTGGAGCATTTATAGAACACTCCTGCTCAGCAACAACAGAATATACATTGTTTTCTAGTGGGCATAGCATGGAGCACATAAACCACATCCTAAGTCAATTAATAGCTCACAGATTAGAAAACATTACGCGGGGCTGGAGAGATGGCTCAGTGGTCTAAAGCACCTACTTGGAACAAGCTTGGCAAAGCACAGGGACCGCGGTTCAATCCTCCAGCACCACATGCCGGCCAGCCGCGCCCCCTGGTGGGCTGAGCTGGCCACACACACACACACACACAATAAATAAATGTTAAAAAAAAAAAAAAAAGAAAAAAGAAAACATTACGCATTGCCTTTATGGTCTCTAATCATAAGTGAATTAAACCAGAATAAAAGATAACAGCCAATGGGGGCCGGGGAGATGGCTCAGTAGAATAAGCACTTGCCTGGCAAGCGCAGGGCCTGAGTTCAATCCCCAGTTCTACAAAAAAAAAAAAAAAGATAACAGCCAAGCTCAGCAGCCTATGGCCCTGGAAAAACAAGCGGGTCCTGTCAAGTACAAAATCCCAAGACAGCACGAAATAACTGCCAGGACCTCATGTAGAACTTCTAGTGAGCTCCCATGAGACGGGGCCTGCACATTAGGACACAGATGCCAGGAGGAGCCTGCTACTGTGACTCTTCAGTGCCTACACCATGTCTCCCAGATACAGGGGATATTATTTTTGCTTTTTTAAAAAAATGTATTTAGTACGGGATTTACAGGGTCTTGCTACACCGATTGGACTCGTAGTGATCTGGTTTTCAGCTTCCCAGGTGCTGGGATTACAGGTGCATCCCACCATGCCCAGTCACAATCACCAATCACTGTCTCAAGGTGCCCCGGGGGCGGAGCCAGCACAGCACACAGGAATTAAACCCTGAGTCGGCCTAAGCAGGCACTTTAATCTGCTGAGCTATCTGCCTGGCCCTTATTTTTGCTTTTTGTCCTTTTCTCTCATTTGGCCCAAATTTGTTCTGCATAGCCAGTTTTTCCCTCACCCCCAAGCTCATCATTTTTCAAGTAAATTTTTGGCACAGTTTGTACCTTGTCTCATCCAATTCCTTGTTCAAGGCAAGAAGTTTAATTGGTGAGCCAT